AAATGCTCCTCCTCACGGATTTTGAATTTATGGTCTGAACCCTTCCAGGAGGTCCTGAAAACATGGTTTTGGGCAAATTTTACCTCCTGACCCCAACCACCCCCCACCAGATGAAGAGTTTAAACTCGTTGAAGAGTCATAAGCAAAAATTCTTCAGATTCTAGAAGTAGAGTGTCTCCCGAGTCATTTAAGCTAAAAAGAAAACAATTGTGTTGAGCTGCTGGAAAACAAGTCGCTTTAAAGGTATTTCGGGGCTAACATGCAAATTACCGGCATAAATGGAAAATCGGAAAAATCGCACGACGTGGCCTCTTTGAGAGGGAAAAACGGGCGTTTTAAAACAGGCGAGGTAAATTTCTGTAATTTGCTCGTAAAGTACTCTTAAAAGTGTGTTACTTCCAAACAAAGCTGTAGCAACATTATAAAGGGAGGAAAAAAATTCGCAAAATGTCGGGAAAACGCGTCTTCGCGCGCCACGCTCGCAACTTTAGGCTCTTTGAGGCTTGTTTTAAAATATTTTTTTCCCCGTTATTTTCTCATCAAATGGAACCATTTGCAGGGTTTCGCACTTTTTTCCGCAAAGTCAAAAATAAGGGCCACCCTACGCGAGTAACCTTTTCTAAAATAGCAATGTTGACAATTTTGGACACAAGGACTCTATCGACTTGAAACCTTTTCTGACGATACTAAGGCATACTTCTCGAAACATTGGAACCAAAAATTAGTGATTTTAGTGTTTTTATTTTTATGGCGTGCGAGTAAACCGTTGCCAAAGTAGCTATTTTGACCGTTTGGGCGCTAAAAAAAAACATTTTTTCGGTGGAACCCACTAGTCGTGAGGGCTTGAATTTTTTTTGGCAACGACTGGTTATATTACCTACATTTTAAGGCAAAAACAAAAAATTTATGTGTTCTCATTTTTTTTTAAACCGCTAAAATCTGGAAAAATTGGAAATTTACGATGTTTACGATTTTTATCAGGGGCTTTAATATCGTGCGATAAATTCGATTTTTTTACCCAAGAATGTGATTGGTCTGATGTGTGTTTTGTGAAATGTTGGTACATTTTCATCGACAAACGCGGGAGATATGAAATAAAACGTGAAAATACCCCAAAATTCCCCGAAGAATGGGTTTTTTAAGGCTGGTGGGGGGTGGTTGGGGTCAGGAGGTAAAAATTGCCTAAAACCATGTTTTTAGGACCTCCTGAAAGGGTTTAGACCATAAATTCAAAATCTGTGAGGAGGGGAATTTTGGTGCCCTTAACTGGAGATACCCTTTACATTATCCCTTTCAGTATGCGGCAAATCAGAATGAAAACCGTGATACAACTTATCAATGCATTCTGAATGGTGTATTGCTTTGTCAGCGACGAGATCAAAGCTATTTACAACTCGTATTTGTACCCAAAATTTCCCGAAGAATGGGTTTTTTGGGGCTGGAGGGGTCAGGAGGTAAAAATAGCCCAATACCATTTTTCAGGACCTTCGAAAGGGTACAGACCATTCAATTCAAAATCCGTGAGGAGGGGCATTTTGGTGTCTTACCCAGGGATACCCTTTGCATGAAGAATTTGAAACGCCTTTATAATGTAATAATAATCAGTTTTTATTGGAAGAATTGCCTAAACTTGCCAGTATAAATATTTCAGATAAGACACTGAAGACAAAATTACCTTTAAATTCGGCGAATGCATCTTGGTAACAAATGTACCCGGATTAAAGTGATTAAAGAGAGACATTTTTGCGAGGAGCCTGGTATGCAGAAAAGTACGACAGAGAAGGAGATAAGGGACTGAGAGTCATGCGCATGGCAGCGACAATGATCAAAGAGGGAATCATTTTAAAATCAAACAAGTACTATTCAGATCCCTGTCCTATGCTACTGAAATCGCGAGTTATGAGCTAGCAAGTATTGCGGGAGATTTAATAGAATTATTGATTGAGGTGGAAGCAGAGGGCGGAGTAAATTTAGCCATAAACCGAACTAAAACTTTTGGTGATATAATAAGAAAGAATGTTTATCATACTCTCTCTGTACTAATTCTTTCATTAATTATCTTTCCTGTACTAACTCCAGGAAAAGGAGATTTTTTGTGTGTTAACACAACAAATCGGGTGAGTCCCTACTGAGCAATAAAGAAAAAAATAACATTATCCTCAATCGTGGCTGTTGGTCATATTACCTGCAACACGTATTACATTTNTGGGGGGGGGGGGAGGTGTCAAAGAAGTGAAATAGGTATGTGCGTAAATAGATATAATAGCTCATCTTCCTGGTAAATCTATCAAAATAAGTGATGCTGGCCCATTTTGTCCCATTTTGTTGATCTATGACAGAGTCCTACTAGTTTGAGGCATAGTCTGAGAAAATCGTTTAATTCTCAAAATCTGCTCAGCTTAGTCGAAGAATCAACATGAATATGGCGAGGCGCAATGCAGCGCAATTCAGCCGAGACTTACCGTATGAAGCAGCCGCCATTGAGTCAGACTGCACAGCGATCCAGGGGCGGACCTTTTAGTAAAATGATAGGCACTGTTCTAATGGAAATTTAATGTTCTTTCATTTCAGTAAGAACAATTTATTTTCCTCAGATTAGCCGTTTCAAGAGAATTGCAGATTTTTTGGAAAAAGCGCGATTTCAAGCAATATTCGACTTTCCTAGCCGCAGTGAACCACTGCGATATCTCATACATCGGAAGTCACAATAAATGAATAAATGTATAGTGTTACTGATAGGAAATTTTGTGTTCTTTAGAAAATATCCACTGTTATATTTTCGTAGGATGGATTGTTCCTGAGATATAAGCGAAAAACCGAATGCGAATCTGAAAAATGCTACTAAATAGGTCTTTGAATTTTGCGGGCAATTTATTTCCGGTCTGGCACCCCGCCCCCATCAGCTCTCACCTGCCAGACTCGAATTTTTATTTTCAGCGTGTTCTCATCTTTTAAATGAGCCTTTAAGAAAAATTATATCTTTCTACATAAAATGTGTTTGAGTTGGACGGCCACTTACCCTAGGCTTTGGCCTGCCAGACCGGATAATTTCAATTCATAACACTGAACCCTATGAAGTAAACCTAAAGTCAGACATATATCTTTTCACATAAAAATTGACCAACAATTTCTAAAGCTGGTGGTAATTTGACTCTCTCCCTGCTTCGACATGCTAGGCTGCCTGATCCTTGTTACATACAAGGGGGGGGGCCTACTTAAAAATCATCAAGTTGCAAAGGAGGGGTATCTATAAGGGCCTTATTTGCCCCCCCCCCAAGGGGTTTTTTGGCCCCACCTAGAATTTAGATATTTATGAGAGTTTTCCAAGTTGACTCGATGTATTTCACGGAAATAATCATGATTTGGTCCATAGGCCATTGGATACGTGTTCACCGGTTGCGTGAACATACGTCTGCAGGCGTATCTTAGCGAAAATGCGTGTTTTTCTATCACTCCGAGGTTTTGACACGGAGCGCATCGTTCTAACTAAAACGAGCTTTTGATGTGTTATCTAGGAGGCTTTAGGACACTTTTTAACCCTGGTTTGGTTTTAGTTAGATGCTGCGCTCATAGTTAAAATTTTTTTTTCAAAAATCGACTTCTGAGGGACATCCGCAATAATCTTAGGAAATTACGTCGTTAGGGTTTTTTTTTTTTATTTTTTTTTTTTATACTATTTTTTTTTTATTTTTTTTGGCTACACTTAAAGAAAATCTCCTTGTAAGAGTTTAACAAGGCTTGATAACTTCCCTCGATACTACACATAGCGTGCATACAGTTGGAGAGATGTGTTTCCGTAAGATTTTCGCGGATGTCCCTTAGAAGTCGATTTTTGATAAAGTTTTTTTAGATTATGAGCGCATCATCTAACTATAACCAAACCAGGGCTAAAATGTGTCCTAAAGCCTCCTTGATAACATATCAAAAGCGCGTTTTAGTTAGAACGATGCGCTCCGTGTCAAAACCTGGGAGTGATAGAAAAACACGCATTTTCGCTAAAATACGCTTGCAGACGTATGTTCAGGCAACCGGTTAACACGTATATAGTGGCCTATGGACCAAATCATGATTATTTCCGTGAAATACATTGAGTCAACTTGGAAGACTCTCATAAATTTCTAAATTCTAGGTGGGGCCAAAAAGGCCCTTATCGATACCCCTCCTTTACATGTCTTTACTTAGACTTTGACCGGCTGGCTCCCGTTCTGGTAGTCTTGAACCGAACATAATGACTGTTTCAGGTGGTCCTGTCCACCCCGTTGAAGGGTCATTACTTCACAAACGTAAAAATAATGTTTTAAAGCGGGAAAAGATGCACCTAGAGAAAGAATTGCCGCTGGCTGGAGAGAACAAGAGAACTTGTCCCAGTATTTATTCAATTCTTAACCTTCATTTCTGTTAATATAATAAATTGACGCGATTGCGTGATTTCCGAGAGACCCTAAAATTTCAACATTTTCCAAAGGATCCATCTCTCTGTCAAACTTTCTCCAACCTCCTTCAGAAAGCGCGAAAATAAGTCTTGTTTCAGTAAAAAAAAAAAAAAAGAGAAGAAAAAAAGAAAGGATAAAAATCCCTTATTCCGGCTAAATAAATTCCGGCTGCATAAATTTCAACAATTAGACACAATTAGGATTCGTGTCGCGTTTTACTCAACATGAGAAAGCCCGCAAAAGTTTTTAAAATTGTAGGAAAGGCTGATGTGAAACGAGAGGCAGGCAATCCGTGACTTTACTTGCGTAGCAAGTGGTCGGCTCGGGAGATGGGTCCCCGAATCGACTTGATTTTAGCTCGGAAAACTCAGAAGCTGTTATAGCGTCCTTTGCCTCCGGTCTGAAGAATCAAGAGTTTGTGGCGATTATCGTCAACAGTCGACCTAGCCAACCACTGTCACCTATCTCTCAAATTGTAAACGACGAATGGAAGAAAAGAAGCATCGGCGGCAGGGCAGCAGCGAAATGAAAGAGCCGCGATCAGTTCTGCAGTATTCGGGCTGAGGACGAGATTGCATCGGTACGCTCGGCACGTCGCGTCGTCGCGTCGCGGTCTCGGGATTCGATTTTTGGCCGAGCTTCAAGTTTTATTTTGAATAGTTCATGTTAATTCCTCGGAGTGACTGAAAATTTTCGGCTCGAAACACGTCTCTTTCGTTGCGAAGACGCCCGGGTTTTCGACCTTTGCATGCGTTCTGCTTCCCCTCCCTCCACGTTCAAGTGTCTCTTCGCAAATGTATCGGCCTCCTCTCCACCATTAACGCGATCGCGAGGTTCTGTGTTTCAAATTCAAGGATTTTGGTTACCCGTGTGAAAAAATACACTGTTCATTAATCGAACGGTTAGTGAAATTAAAATGAGCTCAGTGGGATGTTAAAGAGTGACTGCTATTCCTTTTTGGTCTGAGCAGTAACAAATCGGAATTTTGCTAAATGCAAGACGAAGAAATTTTGCTTTTCAGAGTGTCCTTCTCTCGCACATTTCGATTGGGCTTTAAATTGGGTGAAATTGAAATTCAAAAACGACAAATGTTCTTATTTTATGTTATACCTATTGTTGTAAATAAGGTTATAGATATTTTTTTTTCTCGCAAAAACCCCCACGTTGTTCAAAGTATCTAAACTCAATAGGGTGCTCATTCGGACTGACGCTACATAGGTTGTCCCAAAAATACTGCACGTTTTTTTTTTTTTTTTTTTTTTTGGACGAACGGTAGTAGATATCAAAATGCGGTTTGTGTAGTTTTAAAGACCAAGCGATTACCAATAAAACAAGACAAATCCGAGCTCTCTAAGTAAAAAAATGACCAAGTTAAAGTGTTTTGAAAATGACTTGTAGAAGGGACCCCTACAGGATTTTCAGCTTCTTTTCTGGAAAAAAAAACAAAGAGTTGATTGTTTTTTACTTTGGACGAACGGTAGCAGATATCAAAATGCGGTTTGTGTTATCTTAAAGACCGAGCAATTACCAATAAAACAAGACAAATCCGAGCTCTCTAAGTCAAAAAATGACCAAGTTACAGTGTTTTGAAAATGACTTGTAGAGGTGATCCCATCAGGATTTTTAGCTTCTTTTCTGGAAAAAAACAAAGATTTGATTAATCAAAAATTCTATAGAGAAATCGTCGCGATCGAATGAAGTTGGCAACATGGTATCAGCCCGGACCTTGCACCCTGCGATTTTTGGTTATTCCCTACGTTGAAAAAGGGCTTAAGAGGCAGGAAGTTTAACTCCATCAACGAGATGAAACGAGCTGTTGAAACTCTCTTAAGGAACATAAGGCAAGAGGAATTCGGAAAAACATGTTTGAAGAAGTGGGAAGAACGGTTGCGGCGCTGTGTGGCAAGTGATAGAAGGTATTTTGAGAAGGAAACTAGTGTCCAGTGGTCCAGTGAAGAAGAGTAAATGCTAGTAATCTTGGTAAGATTCTGCAAAATTGATTTAATAAAACCACTTGAATCCTTAATTCTTTGTTTTTTTTTTTTTTTCAGAAAAGAAGCTGAAAATCCTGTAGGGGTCCCTTCTACAAGTCATTTTCAAAACACTGTAACTTGGTCATTTTTTTACTTAGAGAGCTCGGATTTGTCTTATTTTATTGGTAATTGCTTGGTCTTTAAGACTACACAAACCGCATTTTGATATCTGCTACCGTTCGTCCAAAAAAAAGAAAAAAAAAGTGCAGTACTTTTGGGACAACCTATGTATTTTCAATGACATACACTTTTCCATGTAAAAGTTGGAAATATAAGAGTTGCCAAGGACGAGTGAACATTAAGTGTGGAGGAGACGAGCTGACAGACGACACGAGTTTCGTGTTGATGATTTACGAGGTGACATTGTTCAGCACCTAAAAACTGTTCGTCACACATTGCCACCGAGAGTTTTTACATTCTCCTCCTGATTTTAAGGAAGTCCTGAATTTACATAATTTCTCATGTTACATAATAATAAGAACTAAGAATCATTGTCAGATAAAATACTCATATTTGTCATTCTGCCATGCTAAGGAAGAACGCGCACGCCGTATAAACATTCGAGAGTTGCCAAATTTCCCCCGATAAAATATGTATTTTTGATGACATTCATAAGCATTTTTCCTTGAAATTTTCAGATATTTTAGATTAAATTGCGTACAAAATTGTCTGAAAATTTTGGAAAAATATATTCACTAATTTCCCAGTAATTTCGGTTTTTATCGAAGGAAACTTAGCAACTCTCGAATGCTCATACGGCGTTCTTCTTTAGCACGGCAGCATTGCTCTCAAGAGTTGAATGTCGGTGTATAGGTACAAAGAAACCTTTCGGTCCATGTAATCATTTCCAAGGTAAAGTTTTCAAGCTCTCGCCTTTTTTCGAAATAATGGAGAATTCGGTGGCAAGTCATTTTTCCCGAGTTAAATTTTCCTCCTACAAGTTTTTCTATTATTTCTTTCCTACTCGTTTCCTTTCCCATTACAGGTCGTCCTACAAGTATAATGTCCTACTTATTTATTTTTGAAGAAAATTTGTCCTACCTTCGATTAAAACATAGGTAAATTAAAAAAATATAGATTAAAATAATAGGGGTGTTTCCTAGAAATTAATATAAGTTGCGAGGTTAGGTCAAAAACCTTCCCTTCTAAACTTCACTCATGTTAGAGTATCAACTTCAATTAGGACAAATACCCTTAGAAAAAAAAGCCAGTAGGATATATCACTCATAGGAATTACTGTAATGGGACAAAAAACCATCAAGGAAAAACTATTAAGAAATCTTGTGGTAGGAATGATAAATTTCGCATTAGGGTCATTCCACGTCAACTCAATCAGGCTCGGTACCCGACCCCCTCCGATTTGGCTGAAAATTGGTATACGGGGTCTTTACATCATTCTTAGACACTAATTTGAAGCGTTTTCCCATCCGACGCCCCGTTCGCGAGATATCGACCCCCAAAGATGCGGTGAATTTTAGCGATTTTCAAAAAAGCCCGTTTTAGCGATTCTCATTTTCTCGACTTCCCTCTCTTTGACTCTCCGCAGCGAGACTCTGTATCAATCCATCATACTTTGAAAGAGTGTTTCTAGACCAGTTTTTCATGTAGATTCTGAATATGCTTTCGAAAGTGAGCTAAAAATTATTTAAATGGCCGTAATTTAGGGTTTTTTAAAATTTACTATTTTTTCGCCATTCAATGTTCAAACTGAATTATCTATCCAAAATACAGTCTCTCCGATTTTCGATTTTTTTCGTATGCTTCAACCTTAAGATGTATAATTTTGGTTGATATAATTTTTTTAATTGCTATCGGACGGTTAAGGGCCTAAAAAAATACAAATAGGCCATAATAGGTCAAAAATTGGTAAAAAAAGACGATTTTTTACATGATATTCCCAATAATTCGGTAATGAACGCTTCAACTATCGATATTTTCCCCCAGTTTACCCTCCAAGATGCATAAAATCAGACTATCACCTCTTTCCATACATTCACTGATTGATTAACGGCCTGATGGAAACCGGAAACCGACCGAAAATACTCAAAATTTACGCAAAAAGACGATTTTTCACACCGTAACGGATGCATTCTACAGGGTTATCCAAAAGTCACTGACCACCCCTGTAACTTTTTTCCAAATTGAGATAGAAGTTTGAAACTTTGGGAATGTTCCTCGGTCTAAAGTAGCAACTTTTTGGTCCCCCCAAAATTTTGGAGGGCGGCCCCTCTTAAGGGGGGCGGGGGCTAACTTTTTTTTTCAAATGACAACCCCCCTTTTGTGATACCTCATTCGAAAGATAATAAAAAAAGAAAATTTTTGGCGCAAACCGCAGGTCAAAAAGTTCATTTTTGACAAAATGGTGGCCGGTCAAAGTTCAAAATGGCGGAAATTTGGCATCTCCGTTGTTTATTGACGGATTGGTGTAAAACTCGGAATCCAAGGGGTTTTCGAGATGAGAAAAACGATTCTGGCATTGGTTTTCCAGAAAAGTCAGTCCTTTTCAAAATGGCGGCGGTCAAAATGGCGGCCTCGAGCGGGAAGTGGATATTTAGGCTGCATATCGTTGGATTTGCATGTTACTTGGTATCTGGGGGTATTCCGGCACTAGAAGAACGAATCTTCCATTGGATATCTAAAATTTTGACAAATTCCAAAATGGCGGCGGAAAAATGGCGGGAAATCAGTTTTACGGCTCTTTACCGATGGATTAGCATGAAATTATTTGATATTTCAAGAATTTAATGAAAGATTCCTTTTTAACCAACCAAAAACCGCCAGGATATCGAATTTCATGCAAATCCATCGGTGAAGAGCCGTTAAACTGATTTCTCGCCATTTTCCCGCCGCCATTTTGGAATTTGTCAAAATTTTAGATATCCAATGGAAGATTCGTTCTTCTAGTGCCGGAATACCCCCAGATACCAAGTAACATGCAAATCCAACGATATGCAGCCTAAATATCCACTTCCCGCTCGAGGCCGCCATTTTGACCGCCGCCATTTTGAAAAGGACTGACTTTTCTGGAAAATCAATGCCAGAATCGTTTTTCTCATCTCGAAAAACCCAAGGATTCCGAGTTTTACACCAATCCGTCAATAAACAACGGAGATGCCAAATTTCCGCCATTTTGAACTTTGACCGGCCGCCATTTTGTCAAAAATGAACATTTTGACCTGCGATTTGCGCCAAAAATTTTCTTTTTTTATTATCTTTCGAATGAGGTATCACAAAAGGGGGGTTGTCATTTGAAAAAAAAAGTTAGCCCCCGCCCCCCTTAAGAGGGTCCGCCCTCCAAAATTTTGGGGGGACCAAAAAGTTGCTACTTTAGACCGTGGAACATTCCCAAAGTTTCAAACTTCTTTCTCAATTTGGAAAAAAGTTACAGGGGTGGTCAGTGACTTTTGGATAACCCTGTATGGATTGTAACTGCAATTTCCGATTTTCTCTCTCTATTTCCACCTTAGGGTATATGCTTTTGAGCACTAAACACTTACTAACGTGACTCGATGGGGCACGGATCTAAACGGAAATTAAAACCGGCCGGCAATTTTCAAAAATGACGGGAAAAGGCGATTTATTGCATCGTCAGGGGAGCATGTGTTCGAAAATTACATCCTGTTTGGACTTTGTGATGCAAGTTTACTCTCTTCATTTTGGTCCCTATAATGAGAAAATCTTCGGTGGACTCTCCGATTTTGATGCCAAGGCCCCAAAAACAAGATGGTGGCCAAAATGGAGGCCGAATTTGAAATGTTGGTAAAACGGCACAAAACGTCACGAGAGGTGTCGATTCTCATTTTTTTTGAATCGTGGATTCCAAAAAAATTGTAATACAGAGCCCTCGACCCACGGAAATGCCCGAAATCCAAGATGGCAGCCGATTTTGGCTCTTTAGTGGCCAAAACGTCAAATGCGGAGCAAAGATAGGAACACACTAGACAACACACCCAACACTCTAGATACCTATCTGTTTTCGAGGTCACAGATTCCCAAAAAAAATGGGGGGAAAAAACATTTCATGCCAAATTGTACTGATTTGGACCATCATGCAGAGGCCGAACTTGGCAGTCATTTTGATTTAGAGTGTTCAGGAACACTCTAATCAAAATCATTCTCCGGGTCAGTTTCTCTAATCAGCATTATTGGTTTTTTTAGGACCGGTGCCTCTGCAGAATGTCGGTAAATTTGTTCTCAGATACGCAATAGATCTATTCCGATGGTGGTATCATAAAAATTTCCCCGTTCAGAATACACAAAAATACTTCATAATTACGCGCATTTTTATTTTATTTTCTTAGGATATGGAAGCAGTCCGGTAAAGCCTTATCACCCTTTTGCTACAGAAAAATCAGACGCCCATGAAAACTGATCGGAGGAAGAATCAAATGGAGGTCCTTCCTGGCTTCAGCAACTTTTAAACACAAAAGAGAATGAACCAATGGAGGAGGGGCTGGGAAGGGTGCACAGAGTCTAAACATTTTTTAAATATTTCTTCTGGGACATTTTACATTGAGTGTTCTTATTATTTCCATTTAAGCTGCTAAAGGCTGGAAAATGACCTAATTAAGGGGAAACAGGGAGGGTAGAGGGGGACGGGTAGAACGAGGGAACCCTATATTACACGGACGGGAACACCCGAAAATCCTGATCATTGGGGTGAAAAATTAATGTATTTTGGAGGGGGGAGCGGGACGAGGGGGTCCAAAGTCTTAGTCACACTCATTGTTGGGCATTGCATGATATTTCAAATTGAATGCAATCACTTTTTGCATTCAGACCAACATGCAGAGTGCTACAGCCAAAAAATATCTGAAAATACCCAAATCTGGCCCCTTCCCCTTCCCCTCCCATGGGTGAAGCACAACTCGTATTCATGGGGACTTGTTCGTGAGAATTCCTTACACCCAAATGAACATTCTAAAACAATGGAATAATGCATCCCAAGTTTTTCCTCCATTCGAAGGATTTTTATTCCTCACACCCTAGACTATTGCGCCGCCTTTAGAGCCTTACTGCGTCAGAGCGACCCAGCTCCGGTTAGACCAACAAGGGGTGTTGAGATTAGGGAGAAAAGTTCTATTGATTTTCACATATATCCATTTTTCAGTGGGACATCAAAATGATAGCGACCCTCAGAAGCTATCCAACGAATCTGCCTGAGCTGACCGCTCTCTCACCTCAGTCTTGCACTGCAATTTATTGGAGTCCATTTGTAATTCCTATTCCAATTTTTGGTTTTGCCAAGCTATGTTTTCCCCGTAGGATAATATGGGCCTGGGCCCAGCATTTCTCTATTGTTTTGTCACTTAAAGTATGAGGGTCACATTTATATGTTTTTTTTTTATTATTACTGTTATTCATCTAGGTATTGCATATCTTTTATGCGTCTCAAAAGTTTTTTTAAAGCCTCAGTCCTAACTAGATCCTTCTTTCTTTCTTTTTGTAGAATGAATTGATTGGTGTGAAATATTTGTTTTCCTCAACCAGAAAAATCCATGATGGTCGTGCCTGAGTCTGGTGTCAACAACATAATGGGGGGGCTGGAAAGTGCAGAAGGAGTTCGCCTTCACAATCATCGCAGAAAATTGAGGCAAAGGTATGTCTTATTTATAGTGTTATTTAAGTACATCTTTTTATACATGCAAGAGCTTGTTAGGGAACACATTTTTTTACATAATGATGTTATTAGAATAGAATTTTTTCCTATGGTAATAATTGAAGTAGCATTTTATTTTGTAATATGCTTTCGCACGATCCAATGCTGGAGAAAATATAAGCCATTTTACTAATGTATAGCTGGAGTCTGACCAAAATAGGCAAGATAGTGAGCCGAATTTGAAATGAACCAGAAGCAGCCAAACATCTGAACCGGTCCAATAATTGACACTGCCGTAATGATTGGCATCTGAAACATCTGATGGGTGTACTGTACTCTTATGGGTTGTACATGGGTAGTCTGCACTAATTGTAAGTCAACCACAAGTGGGTTATGGAGAATCTGCTTGAATTTGTCCAAAATGAAGGTAGTTGGCTTTTCCTCCATTTAGCGGTCCTGCAACTATAATACCCTGCGTGTAATTTGAGCTGTGCGATTAATCGAACATTACTCGTAATCGTGATTAATTTTTCTAATCATAATGATAAATTAATGGCCATTGAGTCAACAAATTTGCCTTCATGAAATGTAGGAATTCCCTTCGCGTTGAGAATTCAAAATTCCTGCCGCTTTCGTTCGAATTTGCGTCACCAGCGTGCTGCTAGCCTCTAGGGGTAAAAAATAGCACTAAACTTAGTGTCAATCCCTTGAAAACTAGGGGAAATATCCGTATCGGGCGTGTTCTACGATACTTTCGATGGGAGAGACTAGTAGTACATCACAAAAAATGAATAAGTAAAAATATATATTTATGTCGTCGTAGGGTGGCGGACCATTACACCGGCGCGAATTTCACAAGGGCATTTGGTCCCCAAAATCTTCTCATTTAGACCGTGGGCCAGCAAGGGGTAACCCTCCCCCCCCCCCCCCCCCGTGGGAATTTTGAAGATGGTGATTTTCTTGAAGCTCTCAACTAGTAGAATAAGATTTTCCTTGTTTACGCGAATTTTATCGTGGTGGGGAGGAGTAGGCCCCCCCTATACCCCCCAAAATTGCTCAGAATTCCGACTTTTCCGCGAATTTTCCCACTTTTACCCGAAAAGGCTTGATTTCAGGGCAAAACTCCACATAACCATTCTGAAAGCTCGTGAAATTCTGGTCTAGCAAAGTTTTAAGTGACTTTGACCAGGACCCGCGGTTCCCCAAAATGGGGGGGCTTCAAATGTCAAAATATCTCAAATTTCCGCGAAAATGACCGTTTCGCCGCGATTTCTCGCCAATAACGCGAAGAAGGTTGGTATTATCGTAAAATCGTTTACCCCTATAATTACAGAGCATTAATTTTTCATTCTAAGGGCGGCCTAACCCCTCGTGGGGGGGAGGGGGGCCCCCCAGCAGTACCCACCCTATAAAAACCGTCAAGATTGGCCGCTTCCTTGAAGTAGCGTTATGCGCAAAAATGGGCGGCAAAATGAAAACAAGTAGCGTTTGTTCTGAGAGAACATCAATGTGGATTCTTGTAGGGGGTGACAGGGGGGAGGGAGGTACATCCTCCTCCCTCCTCCTCCCCCTCCCCCCAAAAAATAATCACGAAAAACGTTAATTAAACGCGAAAATTCCACTTTATAAGACGACTTCAGGGCTTGTCATTGACACGCTTACACTAACATAATTTAATGAGGGGGGAGGAGGGGAGAGGGGTTTAGCCTCCCCCCCTCCTCTCCCTCCCCCTCCCCCTCCCCCAAATAAATAATCACGAAAAAATTTAAATAAACGCGAAAATTCCATACTCTAAAAGGCGACTTTCAGGGCGTGTCATTGTCACGCTCACACTAATATAATTTAATGAGGGGAGGGGGGGGGTGTTAGACATCTTGGCCTCCCCAGCCAACATTAAAAAAGGGTGGGGGAGGGGTAATTTATAAACGTTACTTACTTAATAAGAGGAGGGACGGGGAAACCTAGCTGTAGTAGGAGAATTTTAAGATTTGAAGGGATACGTAATTTAATCAGGGAACGTTGAGATACTATTTTATTTTTTGGAAATGACTGAAACTGAGGGGAGTTTATTCATAATTGACGGAAATGTACATACTTAAGCTTATGTCAACATTTTTGAAACGTTTGGAGAATAGGCTTAAAGTGTATTGGATCGTTTGCCAAAGTATTCAATCAAAGAAATACACCCAATATACTCACTGGGAAAAGTATATTTAAGGCATGGAGATGGGTCTAGCCAGTTTACGTCCGCTGGCGGTGTGAATGTTGACTTCATCTTGCAAACTCAATAAAAATCACACCAATAAGAAGCAAACATTCAAATAATTTTGCTTTTTTCCGAGTCGAACTATCTTGATAACTATTCGTCAATCAGAGTTTACTGCAGTATCTGTCTGTGACCAAATGAATGATTGAATACTTTGGCAAACGATCCAATACACTTTAAGCCTATTCTCCAAACGTTTCAAAAATGTTGACATAAGCTTAAGTATGTACATTTCCGTCAATTATGAATAAACTCCCCTCAGTTTCAGTCATTTCCAAAAAATAAAATAGTATCTCAACGTTCCCTGATTTAATTACGTATCCCTTCAAATCTTAAAATTCTCCTACTGCAGCTAGGTTTCCCCGTCCCTCCTCTTATTAAGTAAGTAACGTTTATAAATTACCCCTCCCCCACCCTTTTTTAATGTTGGCTGGGGAGGCCAAGATGTCTAACACCCCCCCCTCCCCTCATTAAATTATATTAGTGTGAGCGTGACAATGACACGCCCTGAAAGTCGCCTTTTAGAGTATGGAATTTTCGCGTTTATTTAAATTTTTTCGTGATTATTTATTTGGGGGAGGGGGAGGGGGTGGGAGAGGGGGGGGGAGGGTAAACCCCTCTCCCCTCCTCCCCCCCTCATTAAATTATGTTAGTGTAAGCGTGTCAATGACAAGCCCTGAAGTCGTCTTATAAAGTGGAATTTTCGCGTTTAATTAACGTTTTTCGTGATTATTTTTTGGGAGGAGGGGGAAGAGGAGGGAGGAGGATGTACCTCCCTCCCCCCTGTCACCCCCTACAAGAATCCGTATTGATGTTCTCTCAGAACAAACGCTTCTTGTTTTCATTTTGCCGCCCATTTTTGCGCATAACGCTACTTCAAGGAAGCGGCCAATCTTGACGGTTTTTATAGGGTGGGTACTGCTGGGGGGCCCCCCTCCCCCCCACGAGGGGTTAGGCCGCCCTTAGAATGAAAAATTAATGCTCTGTAATTATAGGGGTAAACGATTTTACGATAATACCAACCTTCTTCGCGTTATTGGCGAGAAATCGCGGCGAAACGGTCATTTTCGCGGAAATTTGAGATATTTTGACATTTGAAGCCCCCCCATTTTGGGGAACCGCGGGTCCTGGTCAAAGTCACTTAAAACTTTTCTAGACCAGAATTTCACGAGCTTTCAGAATGGTTATTTAGAGTTTTGCCCTGAAATCAAGCCTTTTCGGGTAAAAGTGGGAAAATTCGCGGAAAAGTCGGAATTCTGAGCAATTTTGGGGGGTTTAGGGGGGGCCTACTCCCCCCCACCACGATAAAATTCGCGTAAACAAGGAAAATCTTATTCTACTAGTCGAGAGCTTCAAGAAAATCACCATCTTCAAAATTCCGGGGGGGGGGGGGGGGTTATCCCTTGCTGGCCCACGGTCTAATTCGAATTAGGAGAGAAATGTTTTTAGGCATGTGGTACATTGGACCGAGTTCGTCAGAAAGGAACCATCTCACGTGAAGTTGAAACTGAGAAAAAGAGGATTGAAGTTTTATCCCAGCATAAGGCTCTATGTAGAAAATAAAATTTAACCTCTCTTTTCACAAACTAATCTCTTTTTTTCGACTTTTAGATTTTGGCAAGAGAGAATGAACGACTATTGATACTCCAAAACATTCTCAACTCTATTTTTTCAAAGATGTGGGTTGGTTCCTTATTGATGACTCTGTCTTTTTTTCCTTTGTAATTTTGGCTGCTGAGTTTTGGTTGAAAAAATTATCTTCTTTTCTTTGACAGGAGCTATAATAATTTAATCGTAACCATGTTATTAATTAATTAATCATGTTTTCATTTCCTAAATGGCAATCTATTTCTTATATTATCTGGATTGTTTTGAGAGCTTTTATTTGCCTCTGTAGTATGTTGAATTTCTCTAATTTAAAAATACCTCACGATTCGTTTTTCACAAAAACATATGCCAAGAATTGTCAAAATTCCTACTTTGAGCGCTCTGTGTAATGTATTTTAACTCGAAGCTTAAAAAGTGCTGAATTAGCATTTTAAGGACCAATTAAATGTATTAGGGTCATCCAACAAGTAGTTGCCCTATTTTGTAGCCTTCAAATTATAAAAGACGATAAATAAAATCGGTAAAAATTATTGATTTTAGCAAAATCTTAGCCCTAAAGTAAACCCTTAAGTTTCAAAATCTGTCAAGGGACTTGTGAGAAAACTTAAATTTATTAAGACTACCTGCTGTTGCTTTGTACCAATCTTCCAGTGTACTAGCGCATGACACCAAAATTTCCCAATTTTACCCTCAAATGCGGAGAGAGCTGAAAGCAGAAACAGTTGAATTTACATTGATCAGTACTTTCTTAGCTTCAATTTTGTGTGTTTTTTGACATTTTCATCAACCTATCAGCAGAAAAATCAGGTTTTGTGCTACAATCTCCATCGGTAGCTCTGCAGGTCAATTTTGGCGAAAAATGCGAGTTTGACCGGTTTGTGGTTAAATAATTTTTCACCAAAATCAGCCTTCAGACCCATGTTTAGACCAATATTAGACCTGAATAGAGACTAGAAATGGCCTAATCATAATGCATCCCGTATATCTTTGACTTTCAATGAAAAAAAATCGTAGAATTGAGGAAATTCAGAGTAAGCCTCTAAACAGCACTTATAGATATCCCTCCTTAGTAGCTGGTCGCCCTAAAGCTTTACCCTGACCCCAAGGGGCCCCACCACATCAAATAATTATTCTAACCATTTTCACAGTGAGTGAGTCATTGTGAATAGTCTCCCTATCTTTTGAGAAAACGTTTATTTTTTAATGATGATTTGTGACTTTGTTTCAGGTTTGATATTGTAAGGAAACTAGGTCAAGGGACGTACGGCAAGGTCCAACTAGGAATAAACAAAGAAACAGGACAAGAGGTAAGTGATTGATTTCCTGTACTTTAAATATAAGGTGAAATTCGTCAGTTCCAAAAAACCACCGCGTTGCATTGTCGAAATCAAACTCTGAAATCAGCGGTTATTTTATTAGTACAACATGTACATTGAATTTGGAGACTCATAAGTTCCAGCACCATACACGGAAAAAAAAACATTGCTGTAATACCCACATGGGTGGGTAAAATAGAAATTCCATATTGCTAAAAACGGGATTTGCAATGTGGGTGGTAAAACAGCAAAACAAATTTTTGCTGGAAAAGCAAAGTAAAAAAATGCGATTTTCGCAATATGAAATGGCTTGTACATCCACAAATTAGCAATGCGAAAATCGCCAAATAAAATTCCTGATTTTGCGAAATTATTATTGTTTAGATAGCAGCCTCATTTTGCGACTTTCGAAATAGCAAAAACCACCGAGTGCGTGTGCTCTAGGAAACGTTTTTTGTACTAATGTGTTTTTGAATGTGCATCTGCGTTATTAGACGACCAGGTGGCGGATCGAAGAGCTGTTTCTCACCTTAAAATCCCAGTTGGGATTAGAACCCACGCCTTGGGCGATGGAGTTGTAATTCGAAGTTTAGTACTTTACCGCTAGACCATCGAGGCTTGACATGAATGGGCTCCTTAATTCAATCTCTTGAACTATCACAGCCCTCTGAGTCCGTAATATGTGTTTATTGACGGATTCTTACAATATTTGGAACCAGAAAAAATATATAACCGAAAAAATTCAAATATGATGTTGCTTTTCTAAATAACCGTATGGTCCAGGAACCACAGGTCAGAATAAGACCTGGCAAAGAAAAATTGTGAGATGGCCAATTTTTGTTTTTTGGGGTTCAGTTAGGTCCCCCGGAAATCTCAAACGAGAGTCCCCAAGATTTACCAGCCGCACTAATAAGAAAATATGCTCTTAAATAAAATTATACGATTTGCTAATTTAGCAAAATTAAATTGTACTTACAAATAGCGTTTTCAACTGATATAATCGCAAAAAAAGACGCTACACTTGCAGTATATCTTGTAAGACCAGGAATTTATTAGGCGGTGAAAATCGCGATTTTGAGAATGCTAAAGTAGCGAATGATTTTAGTAAGTTTCCTAAAATAATTAGGAAAAAAAGCAATACCATAAGCTAATTCAGCAAACATTTTGCAAATGTAGCGATAGTTTTAGCAATAACACCCGAAACCAGTAATGCTATTTTTGCAAAATCATAATTTGCTATTTTCGCAAAATAAAACTACTATTTTTGCAAATTGTTTTATCATTACGAGGGTGGGCATTTTAGGAAAAAAAGCGAATCACAGAAATCGCAAACCATTTTTTGCCATTTTAGCAAATATTTTTTTTCGGTGTATGTTCAGAATGTCTTAAATCGAAAACAAACTTTGAAAGTTCAAGAGCAAAGGCTAGAAGTTGATCCTATTCTCTACTGTGGGATATATGTAACAGCAAGAGAAATATCTTTAATCGCTGAGACAGATTGCTCATGATTAATCGTATCAGTGTAATTTCCCTCGATCCTACCTTTTTGGGGGGATCAATTTTTAGAACCTCAGGGATTATGCATCATATAATTTTTTGGGGTCAAGAGGAGAAAGAGGCTTTGGTTTCAACTAATGACTCTTCATATGTGACAGAACTTTCTCTAATTCCTTCAACAACTCAAGGACTCATAGTGAACCGTACGAATTCTATTAACACAATTACAGAAATCATAACGCAGCAGTGGCGTCTCCTGTGTGGAAAAATTTCTAACTGCGAGTTGCTGAAGACTCACCTTAAGGATACCTTGCCTACTTCACTCCCGTTTTTGTCAAGTATACCTATCTATCAATCTATTCTTTATTATTTGATGACTAAAACAACAGCCTATGTGCCAACTGTGTCAGGAATTATTATTCCTAGTCGTGAAGCATTCATTTATACTGTCATTACTCTATATAAAGCCGCCGCACCGGCTCACTCTGTCCCCCCCTAGAGAAAAATTGGCCGAAGCTATTTCCTTTAAACTTGGTACATGCTTAGCAATTGTCGTGAGGAGTTGATCAAAATTATTCCGATTCCAAAACGTTGCCCAAGACGCACGGTGGGTCAGATCGTGTCCGTAGTGGCGCTTAATCATAACTCCCGCTAGATCAGACATATCGTTCAAAACTTGATGATTCCCAGGGTAATTTGATCAGCTCTTTCCAAATTTTGTGTCAAAAATGCCAGCAAAAATGTCTAAATGTAGTTTTTGGAAGTCCAAAGCCAAACACAGTTCGTTTGAGTAAAAGTTATATGAAATTTTCTATCACTCAAAAAGTCTTTTCGGATTCGAAAAGTAAAGTTTTTCTAGCTAAAAATGAAAATAGGTTGTTCGAGCTCCTGGAGAAATATATCGTTTTTTATATTTTTAGGGCTTCTTAGAGGCTGATACGAAAATTGACTCAAAATTACTCAATGTTTCTGTTTTAATTTCTAAACTAAGATAGCTATCAAAATGATCTTGGTTTCATTTTAAAGCTGGTGTAATTTTCCGTCGATTGAGTGGCCTGCGAGCTAATTTTGTCAAAAATGGACAAAGTCATGATAGCTTGAATAAAGGGTATCCAAAATAAGCTTACTTGTTTTCCTTACCGAGGAAGACTCTATTTTTTCTTTTTTCCCCTTCAAGACCAAAAACACTAGAGTCAATCTGTAAAAATTACAGCATTTGTAGTACTCTCAGGTCTGTAACGAGCGTCAGATTTTTAAATTTGACCCATTGGTTCCAGAGAAAATCAACTTTTGGTTTCTGTTCTGTTCTGCTTACAATCAGCTATTGACATACGGCGCAAGACGCGCCACTGACGAGGAGACCAAGTACAGAAAATCGATTTTATCCACTTTTACAATCGATCAAATTTAACGCGTAAAGCTCGTTAGAAAGTTCAAAATATGATAAAGAACATTTTACTCTTTGCGTTTTTTCCCTAAGCCCCCATTTTTTGGAGGTATGGGGAATTTTCGGGGCGATTTTCAATTCAATGCTGTAAGTGGCCAAATTATTTACTTTTCAAAATCTAAACGTCTCCTGAGAGGAGAGGTCAATACCTTTTTATTAATGTGCCATATGACCCCTGCTGCTCCAAAATTTTGGGGGCCACGACCTCTCAAAAATTTTGGGGCTTTGGAGGGCCATAAGTCACAAAAATTTCAAATAGCAAGGGTATGTTTCGACTTCAGATATGGATTCTACGCGAAAAATTGCGTAGAATTGACATGGCGCACGGCCTGTTTGCTCCAAATTACTAAAGAACCCCATTTCTCCATAAAAGGCCGTGTATTTTTGGAGAAAATAAGGGGCAAAAAAAATCTGAATCAAACAGGCCGTGCGCCATATCAATTCTATGTTACTTTTCCCGTAGAATCCATATCTGAAGTCAAAACATACCCTTGCTATGATATATATGCTCTGTTTGATTCAGATTTTTTTTGCCACTTATTTTCTCCAAAAATACACGGCCTTTTATGGAGAAATGGGGTTCTTTAGTAATTTGGAGCAAACAGGCCGTGCGCCATGTCAATTCTACGCAATTTTTCGCGTAGAATCCATATCTGAAGTCGAAACATACCCTTGCTATTTGAAATTTTTGTGACTTATGGCCCTCCAAAGCCCCAAAATTTTTGAGAGGTCGTGGCCCCCAAAATTTTGGAGCAGCAGGGGTCATATGGCACATTAATAAAAAGGTATTGACCTCTCCTCTCAGGAGACGTTTAGATTTTGAAAAGTAAATAATTTGGCCACTTACAGCATTGAATTGAAAATCGCCCCGAAAATTCCCCATACCTCCAAAAAATGGGGGCTTAGGGAAAAAACGCAAAGAGTAAAATGTTCTTTATCATATTTTGAACTTTCTAACGAGCTTTACGCGTTAAATTTGATCGATTGTAAAAGTGGATAAAATCGATTTTCTGTACTTGGTCTCCTCGTCAGTGGCGCGTCTTGCGCCGTATGTCAATAGCTGATTGTAAGCAGAACGGAACAGAAACCAAAAGTTGATTTTCTCTGGAACCAATGGGTCAAATTTAAAAATCTGACGCTCGTTACAGACCTGAGAGTACTACAAATGCTGTAATTTTTACAGATTGACTCTAGTGTTTTTGGTCTTGAAGGGGAAAAAAGAAAAAATAGAGTCTTCCTCGGTAAGGAAAACAAGTAAGCTTATTTTGGATACCCTTTATTCAAGCTATCATGACTTTGTCCATTTTTGACAAAATTAGCTCGCAGGCCACTCAATCGACGGAAAATTACACCAGCTTTAAAATGAAACCAAGATCATTTTGATAGCTATCTTAGTTTAGAAATTAAAACAGAAACATTGAGTAATTTTGAGTCAATTTTCGTATCAGCCTCTAAGAAGCCCTAAAAATATAAAAAACGATATATTTCTCCAGGAGCTCGAACAACCTATTTTCATTTTTAGCTAGAAAAACTTTACTTTTCGAATCCGAAAAGACTTTTTGAGTGATAGATAATTTCATATAACTTTTACTCAAACGAACCATGCGAAGAAATAGCTCGATAAAAAAGAGGATCCTTTGATTCCTGTAAGATGGGGGAAAACACAATCATCGACCAGATTAATATAATATCATCATCTAACCTTGTAATTATATTGAAAGGAGAATATTTTCGCTTTTGCAGATCCCAAAAATATTGATTTTTAGCAGCAGGACGTGAGATCAAAGTTGCCCGAAAAATAAGCCTTAAAAAATGAATTTTTCAGAATATTGTAGACTGGAAAAGTGTCATTGCGGTTCGTTGCGCGATTCTGTTTGGTATTTTTAGAAAGCATATATCCTAAAGATATCATATACCAAAGCACAAATGGTACAAACCGGTACAACCATATTTGTCGGATGCTTCTTTGAGGTGACCCCCGATTTCCGCAAAAATCAGATTTAGGGGTTTCAAGGAACCACGGTACACAGTAAAGCGGCCAATGAAG